AAATTTGCATGGCAGATACTTCATAGAATGATTTTGGCCCGGTGCTGATCACTGAATCATTGTCAGTTTGATGAGGTACCTTTCTTTTGACTTAAATGCACTGCAGTGGCATTTAAATTCGAATGAATAATATACTCGGCAAGGGAAGCAAGCAATAAATTGTTTTTGCATTTGCTACACTGTGCCTTTTCAACGTAGCATACCTTCCAATCCAAACATATGTGTAGTATAACTTTATAATCTCCAACAATGCATTTTATACATATACCATTATTGAAATTTTGAATTTCAGAAAAAAACATAAGTGTAGTAGAGGGTCTGCAGTCCTCAGAGTCACATCCACAGAAACTATTTTCACTCACTGTAGTAAGCCAATGTTTTAAAAGCTAAAACTGGTTAGGTTTAAATTGCCATCAGAGTGGAATGCCCTTTATTTTATCAGAAGAGTATTTCTATAAGGTACATTATAACATTGATGATGTTGGGAGCAAGGAGACTAGTGTCAGAACACAAATTCTACCATGCTTGCTTCACAGACTGGGTTGTTAGTCTCTGTGCCTTGAATAGTTTTTCCCTGTAAAAGACTATTACTATCAGATGCCCAAATCACATGGAATGGTTTCATAAACAAAAACAAGTCTTTTGAAATTGTAGCATTATCCTGTAGGAATATATAACTGAAGAGAGATTTTCAAGACACAGAGGGCTTACAGATCTGAGGCATATTCATTGTTTTTTTATCTGTGTGTATGCATATGCTGTGTTGTGCATGTAGAAGTCAGAGGACTGCATGAGGTGTTGGTCTTCAGCTTTTGCCGTTTTAGACTTTTAGACAGGGTTTGCTCTTTGCCACTGTGTATTGCCAGTCTAAACCACCCACGAGCTTCCTGGGATTTTCCTGTCTCTGCCTGTCATCTTGCTACTGTACCCAGTTTTACATGGCTTCTGGGGATTTGAACTCATATCTTTGTATTATGTGGCAAGTGCTTTATCCACTGAGCCATCTCCCCAGCCTAGCTCTTTTTATTATTGTTTTACTATTGTGCCTTTAGACCTTGTGATGGTTAGTATTGTTAACTTGACAGTATCTACAATCTCCTGGAAGATGGACCTCTGGGAATGCCTGTGGGAAATCTTCATTACATGAATCTGAGGTGGAAAAACTTATACACAAGTTCTCACACATACTTTCATCTATAGCCTAACTTCTCCAGGTGCCCACTGTCCTGTTTTTCAGTCTTAACATTAGAAAGTACATGGGCTTTGACATAAAATCTAGTTTCTAAATCTGATCCCTCCACTCACTAAGTGATGGAGTATTAGACACATGACTTTTCTCTTCTGAGTCTTAATGCCCTGATTTGTAAAATAAAATTATCTCCTATACTTGGGGTAATTCCTGGCACATAGTGAAGGAGAGTGCCCCTCAGACCCTTTCCCTGTCCTCTGAGAAAAAGCTGTCCTCCGCCTGACTCTGGAAATCCCCTCCATTGTTCAAACCCTTTCCTGGTACATATGTTTATGGTTTCTATGGACATGGTCCGGGGCAGAAGAGGAAAAATGTTCTGCCCCAGGTAAGCTAGCCAATGGCTGTATAGGTTAAGGCTCTGGAAATCAGCCCTAGATTGTTCAAATACTTTTCTGGTTCTTCTGTTTATGGTTTCTATAGAAATCCCCTGCTCTGAGGTTTTTGTGCTTAAAGGCTCTGGGTCGCAGTGCAGCTCCTGAGCCTGCCTGTGTCCCTGGCTGGTCAGTTTCAATAAAGCAGTGAAGTTCTCCTAGGTCTCAGTGTCCAAGTGGTCCATTCAGGGAATTTTTCAAACTCCGAACAATAGTAGGTACCCACTGAATACCACTGATATCACTAATGTCTCACATACTGACTTTGAACATGGATGGGGCTTTCTTAAGCTCCTGGCTTGCTGTTCCCAATATTGCTCAGCATTTAACACCTTCCAAATTTAGTGTTTACAAAACAGTTATCTCTTTTAACATGCTTAAAATACTTGGGCTTAAAATAGAGAAAATGCAGGATGACATATCTGTGCTCTCTCTTTTAAAGCATCTGGCATTTCCTTTGTAGGTAGTTTAAAGAAACATGCTCTAATTCTGGCAAAGAACATCAACGTACAGCTTAAAAAATAAACTTTAAAAAAGTGTAAATTCTACAATTTGCCCTCAACTAATCAAGGACAATTTAGTAACTCTAATACAAAGGCTGGCAACATCACACATCTCTAATCAGTCAAAAGATAAGCAGTGGCTTTTTAATCACAAGAAGGAATTTGATACACTTAAATCTTACTCAGAGTTCTAAAGAGGCCCTTACACTTTGATGGATCTATTAAATAAGAGCCCAGAAAACACATCCAAATTTTAGTACTGCAAACTCCAGTGACTATGCAAAATTTGCCTGCTGCACATACTTTACAGGTTGTTATTATAATATTTCCTGAAGAGAAAATGACTACAAATTCATGCAGAGCTAAAAGCAGACAAGGTACTCAAAAATACAATGGAAGTAAAGAATACAAGTGATATTTATTATTTTAACTCCAATGTCTCTTCCATATACCCACTTTTCTTCAGACACACTGCCTCCATTTAGGCTCAGGTGTTCTTTTTGTGTGGCTTCAAACCTGGGCTGCCCTCAAACACTCAAATTATTCTCCACATTTTCACCATACCATTCTCCATTTTAGGGAAAAAGAATTCTGAATTCTAGCCAGAATAACAAACAAAACAAAACAAAACAAAACAAACAACCCCACCTCACTGTATAGCTGAGGCAATCAGTAAAGATTCCAGAAGGGTCATGTCTACTGACAGTAGGATTAAATTAATTCTAGAATAAAGAATACTAAAAAGTATGGATCCATCTAACAAGAATGAAACACAAGTTCCAAAAAGGTGCCCTTATTAATAAATGATTTGCCGAAACAAAATTTAACACTCTTCCAAGGGGAAAAAACATACTTAGAAAATATAAGGGACACATAACTCAACATTTAAAAATAAAAAAAGAGGAATATTTTTGCATAGGCATAAATATATCAACATAAATCTAGAAATGGTTAATAAGCACATGAAAAAATGTTCAACCTTATTAGTCATGAAGGAAATAAAATAAGACCCCAAAGAGATTCTGGTGCACACCTATGAGAATAGCTAAAAACAATGGAACTGACTTTACCAAACCAGTGGGCCAGTTAGAGCTTAAAGGCAAACTCCTGCTTGACTCTGACTATGCTTGTAAGTCAAATGTTATCAGAACAGAATCACACTAATTCATGTTTAATCTGCAGCTACTTTTCTGCTCTAACTATGGAGAGGGTAGTTGCAACTTAGCAGCAATAACTAATAAATTTACCACAAATGAAAAAAAATCTCAAAAAAGACTTTGCTGCACAAAGTTAAACAGATTCAATTTAACTGAAATTGTAGAACACACAAATTTAGTCTATACAACAAGTAAAAAGTAAACTGATGGTTGCCTGGAGCTAGAAGTGATGGGTGATGGTGAGATATGGACACAAGGGAACTTTCATGAGATGATATGAAATTCTAGAACTTGATTGCATGATAGTTATGTATTTGTCAAAACCCCCAAATAGGTATATTTTACAATATCTTAATAAACATATGATAATAAAGATGAATAAAAAAGTCAGGTTTGGGTTTATCTGGGTTTCAGAATTCAGAAGTTTTTGAATCTTTAGAAACACTGGACTATGCATTAACTGTATATATACCTCCAACTGGTTTTGTGACAGTATCTCATGTTTAATATATTAATATATCTTCAACAAATTTGAATATTCTAACTAAATAAGTCTAGAAAAGGTCACACAAGCCGGGCTTTGTGGGTTAATGAGCTGTTGCCGTTGTTATAGTGTGTGTGAGCTGGGGCATGTGTATGTCACAGCATGCATGTGGAAGCCAGAGGCCAACTGTCTCAGGAATTGGTTCTCACCTTCCATCCTTGTTGAGGCAGGATTTCTTTTGCTTCTGCTGTGCTGCATACCCAAGGCTAGTTGACTTGCAAATTTCTGAATTTCTCCTCAGAATCTCACCAGAGGAGTACTAGGATTACAGATGTGTGCTACTGCATCCAGCTTTTTTTCTTTCACGTGGGATCTAGGGATTGAACTCAGGTGGTAAAGCTTGCATGGCTAGCACTGTTATCTCTAGCTAGTTTTAAAATCAAAAATTAAGAAAAAAGCTTTTGGGTATTTTGAGGGTTTTTTTTTTTTTTTTTTTTTGGTCTTTTTGTCACAGTGTCTCCCTCTAGCCCCAACTGGTCTAGAATTCACTATGTAGACCAGGCTGGCCTTGAACTCACAGAGATCTGCCTGCCTCTGCCTCCTGACTGCTGGGACTAAATAAAGGCTGGGACTAACGGCGTACACCACCATACCTGGCTTGAGTATTTTGACTTTTTTAAAAGATTTATTTATTTATCTCTCTGTGAGCATATGCACATATGTGTTTGCAGGTACATACCTGTGGAGACTACAAGAGGCATCAGGTAGCCTCTTCTATTGCTCTCTGCCTATTTCTTTGCAGCAGGGTTGCTTCCTGAACCTAGGACTTGTGTTTTCTTACCTAGGCTGGAGGCCAGCAAGCTGCAGTGACTCTCCTGTCTCTGCCTCCTTCAAAGCTGATGTTACAGGCATGCACAGGACAGGTTTATTATATAGGTGCTAGGATCCAAACTCTGGTTTTCATGATTGTACAGCAAGTGCTCTTAACCACTGAGTCATCTCTCCAATCCGAGTTGTTTTTTTTTTTTTTTTTTTTTTTTTTTTCGTGTTTTTAAAATTATTTATCCTTGTAGTAAAGCACTAAGGGCCTATAATTATCTTTGTATGCCTTCTAAGTCCCAAAGGCCTCTTGTGTGCCAGGCACTGCTGTAGCCAGGTGCTTGTAGGTACACAAACACAGGGAAGCTGCTTTTGCCTTGAGGAGGTAAGATGAGTGTGACACAGTTCCTGCTCAAGGGGGCTCAGCAGGTAGATGGGAGTCAGACACAGATAAGGAACTGTGTACAAGGCAGACTTTGATAACGTGAAAAGAGACTGAGGGATGAAGAGATTAGTAAAGTCTGTCTCTGAAGAGATCAGGCTGGAAACAGAGGTTGAGATTTTATCATGGCAGATCATACAGGATAAATTAAGGCATTTGCCCTTTGTCCTGTAAGAAATAACACTTCTTTATTATGAATCTGGACTCACCAGTGATGCTCTCCGAGTCTCTGTGATTACTATTCATGAGGTTTTCTTCACCTGTTGGTGATGTGAAAATGGCATTCTGGGATTGACTCATGCAGTATCCTTTCTTGCTTTGGTTGAGAAGGGCAGCTTTGGTATGAATCAGAGCAAAAGAAATCCATCAAGCCATTTAATGGAGAAATGGATGTGGTCATATGGATCTTTTCTTTAAGACAGATTTTCTCTGATGACTCAAGTGACATCTGTAATAGTAAATGCTCTCATGTGATTATGATCCCTTGGACAGTCATGGCCTAAAACAAAGAACAGATCAAGTGGCTAGAATTCAGCATGCTCTATAATAATAGTACTCTAATTACCTGGCATGCCTATCATTAAGAATATTTTTCTATAATATACACAACATCATGGGTAAATCTCAAAGTAATACACTAGAATAAATGAGTCAGGGCAAAAACAGCTTAAGGTTTATGATTCCATTTTTAGAAAAGAAATCATATCTATAGTGACAAGAAAGCATATTAGTGGCTGCATGGGGTTGAGGAAGGAATCACTAATGGGCAGGAGAACAGTCTTATGAATGATACATGATGTTGGCTTAAAAATGTATGTATATGATGCCCAAATGTGATAAAATTACACACTTGAAGTATGCGATTTGATGCACATAAATTATACTTCAATATAGTTGTTTAAGTTTTCAAAGAATGTCAACTGTTTACTATAATAACCTATTGTAGAGTCTATAACACACATAGAAGTGACAGCATTATACCAGCACAAAGGCCAGGAGGGGAAATGGAGGTATACTCTTACAAAGCTTTTAGACTATATGTGGAACAGTAAAATACTACATACTATGTGAAGGCAGTCGGTGGCGACTTAAAGAGGTATGTAATAAACCAGAAAGCAACTAAAACAGTAGCTCAAGAATTTTAGATAATTGCTGGGAATGGTATTGCAGGCCTTTAACCATAGCACTTGGGAGGCAGAGGCAGGCAGATCTCTGTGAGATGGAGGCCAGGCTGGTCTACATAGTGAGTTCTATTAGAGGTCAGCTGAGAAACAAAACAAAAGAAAACAAAACAAAACAAAACAAAACAAAAGAAGTATAGGGCTGGAGAGATCGCTCAGTGGTTAAGAACACTGAATGTTCTTGCAGAAGACCCGGGTTCAAATCCCAGCACCCACATGATAGCTAACAACTGTCCATAACTCCAGTTCCAGGGGATCCAACAGCCTCTTCTGTCCTCTGTGGGCACTGCACAACACCAGTGCACTTACTTACCTACATGCAGGCATAACACTCATACACATAAAATAAAAATAATAAAATATTTTTAAAAGAATTATAGATAATAAACCAATAAAAGATATGAGATGGATAATACAAATCAGGGTTTCTTAACCCTGATTAACTACTGGCATTTTAGGTCATTTGGGTGTTCACATGGTATATACTGTATGAACTTTAGCAACACTTGTGCCCTGTACTAAGAGCTCTTTCCCAGGCATTCCCCGAGATCTAACAGCCACAATGTCCTAGGGGATCAAACTTGCCCCTAGACAAGAACCACTAACACAAAAGACACTTGTTCTGGTTTGTTTCTCCACTGCTGTGACAAAACACTCTGACCACTACCAACTTGGGGAGGAGATTCAGCTTACATCTCCCAGGTCATAGTTCATCAGGGAGCCCAAGGAACTCAGGGCAGGAACCTGGAAGCAGGAGCTGGAGCACAGGCCATGGAGGAACGCTGCTTACTGGCTTGCTCCCCTGGCCCCTGCTCAGCCTGCTTTCTTATGCAACATAGGCCCACCTGCCCAGGTAGTGGGCTGGGCCCTACTACATCACTCATCAAGAAGATGCCCCTCAGACATGGCTACAGGCCAGTCCAATAGAGGCAATCCCCCGATTGCCTCAACCCAGGTGTGTCAAGTTGACACTAAAGCTATCCAGCACAACACTTAACTTCACTCAAGATTAAAATAAGTAAAAATAAAAGTAAAAATATTTTACCTGCTGGATTATCAAGCAATAGTTTCATTATACTCATTATAAGATATGACATGAAAGAAGAGATACTCTTAATGCTCTCCTGAGAAAAGTATAAATTGATATATGCTTTCTGAAAGGTTTTTACAATGGCCACCAAGCTTTTAGATGCACATACACTGCAACTCAACAATTCTACCAACAGGAATTTATACAATGGATATTTTCACAAAATGCCAAGATGTAGGGACAAGAATGCCCACATAGTATTGACTTAAAAGTATTTGTTCAAAAGCACACATACAACTAGAATGTTCATAAAGAAATATTTTAATGGAGCATAAAAAAGATCACAGTTCAAGCCAGGTATAGTGTCACCTCCCTATAATCCCAGCACTCAGGAGGCTGAGGCAGAAGGATGGTGAGTTTGAAGTCAGCCTAGGATTCCCAGAATTCCAGGCTGGCCTAGACAACTTAGTGAAACCTTGTTTTAAAACAAAAGGACTGCAAAGCACTCAAAACTGTTATCAATTAGAAAATGTTCAATTCAAGGATGGGTGTGGTGGTGCACACCTGTAATCTTAGCACTCAAGTGGCTGAGGCAGAGGACACCAAATTCAAGGCTACATAGCAAGTCCTTTGGCAGGGGGATGTTCAATTCTAATCATAAGCCTTGCTTTTTATAAAAAGACAGTCTACTAAACAGTCTTAGCAATTTGCAGTTTCTATTTATGGCTAACTCATCCACATGAATATTTGCAGGAATCATAAATACTTAGTTATCCCTAAGAAGTAGAAAGCATAGAAAGGAACAAAACAAAGGAATATAAAAAATGGTTGGTGAGGCAGAACAGAAAAGGACTCTTAGAAAATAACAGGGAAGTGAGTTTCAGAGACAAAATGAGCAAGAGAATTAAGCACTATAGAGAAGTCAAAGGGGAAATTTGGGAACCTTAAAAATGAATAGTGACCTTTTGAAAACCAGGTTAACCCAACAGTTAGACCCCAACCAGGCTGGTTAATAAATTACATAGGGAGACTGGACTTCAATGAATTAGACCAGGATTTCCCAACACCTAGATTTTCAGATTTTTACAGACCAATAAACTTTCAAAAACTTTTGTGATCACTGGCATAGGGTTTCCACTTTGTATCATTTTTGTTACCCCATAAAACATTTTATAAAGAAAAAAAAACCTAACAAATAGTAGTCCTTCCCCAAAAAGAGTTTATAATTTTATGTTGGCATAACAAATATTCTAGTTTTCAACATCTGAGTTCAGATAATTTTAATAAATAGTTAAAGATTCTAATATATGTGCAACTGTTTTCTTGGAATATGTTTGCAATATAGTAATGTGAATTAGCCAATGCAATATTAAGCAAAGTTAAAATCTATTTGTTAGGTACTGTAATTCTAGTCATCAAAGGTTATTTTCATATTCTAGGATCACTCTATTATATGTACTTGACTTTCCCACAGTATCTTACTGGCCAAAACTGTCATTTCCAAACCAATCACTGCAAAGGGAAGAGAAATAAAATTAGATGAAACCAATAAAGACTACTTAAGAGCCAGAAAGCAATCTTCTCTGAGACATACCATGGCCAGATACATGAACAAAATCTGAACAAGAAGTTCTGTTGCCAAAGAAGGCAAGAACTGATTCTGCTATGTAATTGTTCATGTCACATATAGTTTTTTCTTAATCAAGGTCTTTGAAGTTACAATACTCCCCAAATCTGGAATTTAAATAAATTAAGAATCTAGGGCTGGAGAGATAACCAAGGCAGTAAAGTGCTTGCTCTGCAAGCATGAGGACATACATTCAAATCCCTGAAACAATGTAGAAAGTGTGGCATTGTGGTGTACACTTGGAATTCCAACGTTGGGGAGGCAGAGAAAGGTGGATCCCTGGAGCTTGCTGACCACCCATCCTAGTCTACTAGGTGAGTTCCAGACCAGTGAGAGACTTTTCTCAAAAAACAAAGTAATTAGCTCCTGAGGAACACAACTCAAGGTTGACCTCTCATCTCTACTGCAACCACACCCATACATGCGTGCAAAGGAAAAAAATTACATAATGTGCAAATTACATAAAATTTAATTTTCAGTGTGTACAGAAGAAATTTTATTAGAACACAGATACATTTTTATTTGAATATTTTCCATTGCTTGCTTTCACCCTCCATGACAGAGCTTAGTAACTGTGACAGAGGTTATATACACATAGCCTGCAAAAGATTAGAATATATATGTATACGTTACTTATGATCCTTTACAGAAAATAACTTCCTAGCCCCGATCACTATCAGTAAAATAATTCAGTCATCAAATGTCAGTCTAAACCTAAGCTTTCCAAGGTCAATTTCTGAAAGCTGAGTTTCCTTCCATATTTAGATATTTGCAATTAGACTAAAGAACATACTTCTATTTTCTACAGCCATAAGTGTATTTAAAAGCTGCTTTCAATTACTAAGAAAACATTTTTTAAAAGTATTAAGTTACAAACTTGCTTGTGAAGGAGGATGGAGGAAGGTGGGGGGAGGAGATAGTGAAGAAAGAAGGAGGTAAACAATGAGTATAATAAGGAAGAGGATAAAAGCAAAGCATTTCTCTCTGCTCCAAGTTGATTCTTAAACAGGACTGTAGTGCTTTTAATCATGATCTAATCAAAGACCAATGTGAAAACCTAACTATAACCCTAAGACCTTCTGCCTATCACTCTTATAGGCAGTCTTACATAGTCATATTTCTCTCTCTCCTCTCTCTCTCTCTCTCTCTCTCTCTCTCTCTCTCTCTCTCTCTCTCTCGATCCTGTCTCATGTATTCTGGACTTACCTTGAACTTACTATGATGTAGCTAAGGATGACCTTGAACTTCTAATCATCCTGCCATCCTGCCTCTGCCTCCCGGGAATACAGGTCTGGAATTAAAGGCATACACCACCATGCTCAATTTCCACTCTTTGTGTGTGCAGGCTTGTGTGTGTGTGTGTGTGTGTGTGTGTGTGTGTGTGTGTGTACACTCAAGAATACAAATGCAGGTTTTGACTATGGGTTCCAGACCTTTACTCTAGAGAACTGCTTTTTAATTGGCTCTGGAGTTTCTTTGATGATCTGGTCTGAACTCTTACAAGAGTAGAGAAAATTAAACTGAACATAGAACTAAGTCCATTGTAAGAGTCATGCAGGAAGAATGTAGCCCTCTGGGGCAATCAGGAACCTACCCAGCCTGCATATGGTGCACCAGGTCAGGGGTGATCTAGAAATGGAGCACTCTTCCTGAGGACTCCT